CTCTCTCTCTCTCTCTCTCTCTCTCTCTCTCTCTCTCTCTCTCTCTCCCTCCCTCTCTCCCTCTCTCTCTCTGTCCCTCTCCCTCTCTCCTCCCTTCCTTCCTCCCTCCTTCTCTCTCTCCCTCTTCTATAATATCTTGCCCCACTATGGGTATTATGCTTCTATTAATAATATTACCTTTTTTGCCATCATACATTCACTCATTGAATTTGGAGTTCGCCAAAATTATGACATCTTTTTCATGTGTTCTGTTGTCTAGCCGTGTCTTCACTATGCTAATTTAAACAATTGATTTGTTTAAAATAAGTGTAATACTTAATAAATTTATTAAATTTATCCATCTTTTCAGCCTGTCATTCTTTTGAATCTTAATTCTATTAACCATTATAGTATAGCTAACCTCATGCCATTCAAGAATTTATTTGAATAGTCCTTTTTATTATTCGGAACTTGACAAATATCAAACATGAATATTTCTGTATAAAAGGAACAGAAAGAGGACTATATATGAAGCCAGGAATTTTCTTTTCATAGTTTTTTGAAAAAAAAAATAGGATATCCCAAAAATTTTAGTGCAGTTTTGTGCTGTTGAAACTTAAAAATTCAATAAGATTTTTGGGACACAGTCTGTATTTGAACTTGAGCATTATAGTTCCAACACTGTCCTGCTTCTCTGTTTCCTGTTCTCTTCTGTTAATTAAAAAAAAAATGCATTGATATTCATTTCTTTATTTCTTTCTTTTTTTTTTTGGTGAGGCAGTCGGGGTTAAGTGACTTGCCCCGGGTCACACAGCTAGTAAGTGTCAAGTGTTTGAGGCCAGATTTGAACTCAGGTCCTCCTGACTCCAAGACTGGAGCTCTATTCACTGCGCCACCTAGCTACCCCACATTTCTTCCTTTTTAAAGTATCACTTTTACTATCCCTTTACTCCTCTGCTCCCAATTGAAAGCTTTCCCTAATCACAGAGGAAATGCAAAATAAATCCATACAAAACAGTTCCACAGATTGTCTGTGTTGGAAGATATGTTCTATATTTCTAGAGGTGGGAAGCATTGTTGATATTCACTTGTTTTAGTTGTGTCTGATTCTTTGTGACCCCTTTTGGGGTTTTCTTTGCAGAAATACTGGAGTGCTTTGCCATTTCTTTCTCCAGCTCATTTGACAGTTGAGGAAACTGAGGCAAACAGCATTAAGTAACTTGCCCAGGGTCACGCAGCTGGTAAGTGTCTGAGGCCAGATTTGAACTCAGGAAGATGTGTCCTTCTAACTCCAGGTCTGGCACTTTGTTCACTGTGCCCTAGTAACCCATCAGAAGCATTGTATCATCACTTTTCTGGAGTTGTGGCTACATCTTGCTTCTTAAGCCTTTCACAGGTGTTTCCCATCACAATGTAACATCTCACAAAGGCATTCCTGGCTCATCTGAAAATTTGATAAATTTGTCTTCTCTAACTTTTTCCAAGCCACTGAGCCTTGGGGACTTTTCAGAGGTTTTAAATGAACTCATCCCTTTCAGGGCTTTTGAGGTTGAGTGTATGGTCTTTTTGAAATATTTTTTTTTAGATATTGTTTCTCGGAAGATAGAGATTCATTCTTTTATTAAAGCGTTTTGGCACACAATTGGGATGGAGAGACAGAAGAGGGCCTGAGCCTTGGGCTCAATTAGGATAAGAAGGAGTAAGGGAGATTCAGGGGATATACCTGTACAAGTAGGAGAGAGATTGATCTGAGGAGGGAGTAATAATAGTTGGTAACAGTGAAGGGTACAGGGACACGGGGGAACAAGAAGCTATCTGATAAGATGAGGAGAACTAAGGAAATGTTAAAAATATTTTATCAATTATTTCTTTGTTCTAGCTACCAGGTGGTTTAGTTGATTTTGGACGGTTTGGTTATTAGACCAGCCATGCTGGGATGTGGAGTGGCTTTGGGATACAGGGGAAAGTAGAGATGGTGTACAAAGGACCATTCACTTGTACAAGATGTTTAACTGATTCTTTGTTACTTGGGGAATTCTGTCTATACGTCTTTTATATTTTCACAGCACACTAGGTACATAGGCTTTTAGTTAATACTAACTGAGTAGAATTGAAAGCGATACATTGGAAAGACTTACCGTTAATACAGGTATGATATAGGAAAAGGTTCTGAATGATGGTGAGTATTGAAAGGAAAGACTGAATCTAGAATATATTGTATAAGAAAAATTACATAGTTCCTTCAACATAGTTGTATTTAGATGTTATGTCAGTTTTTCTATTGACATTAAACATTGACATAAATTTGTTGTCTCTGGTGCCTTTAAACAGTGTATTTTCCATTTTTATCTTTTAATCATGTGTATTTTTATTATTCCCTTGTTTGATATCATTGCTACTCCTGTTTTTTTTTTTAATTCACTTGAAATATAATGCGTTCTTCTCCAGCTCTTATTATCTTTGTTTCAAGTGTGTTTCTAGTAAACAGCATGTTGGATTTTACTTTCTAATCCTCTTCTGTTTTATAAGTGACTGCATCCCCATTTACGTTCATAGTCAGAATTATTCATTCCATTTTACCTCCATCCTATCCTCTTAAATTTTCCCTATTCCTTCCCCCCTCAAAAGAAGAAGATGGTGAGAGATAGTGTGCTCAATCCTACTAAGTAATCTGTTTTTCCTTCATTGACCCTCTTTTTTCCTTCTTACTCAGACCTCGATCACAGGTTTTTTTACCCTTTCTTAACATTTTCCCCATCACAATCCACCCTCCAAAGTTGGAGTTTATTTTGCTTTTTATTAATTTTTCTCTTATTCTGCCTTCTTTTTAAAATCCCTTTACCCTATTCTCTCTTCCTGTCTGTTACCCTATTGAATTTTATTTTTATTTGTGCTGGACTCTTGGTGTCTATGTTCGACTATCCTTTGTCCAGTTCAGATGAAATTGAGGTTTAGAGGCCTTTCCTGGCTGTCCCCTTTCCCTCATTGTTAGTACCTTGTCTCTGAAGTGTATTGTTCCTGTTAATTAGGAAGGAGAAAGCCAGATAGCATTAGGGAAATGGCTCATTGTGCTCCATTAACCCGTTACATTGACTTAAAAACAAAACATGAGTTTCTCACAGAGAGGCAGTGTGACATGATGGATATTATGTGTCAGATGTCGTACTTGAAACGTAATAGATACTATGTGTCAAATGTCATATGGACCTAAGCCTTCCTAACTCCAAGGTCAAGCCTTCTGTCTACATCATGAACATATCACTTGACTGCTGAGAGCTCCCAGCAACCATCTAAAACTGTAATAGACTAGTGTATAATCTACATTGGTGGAGGGAGTTTACACATTTGGCAGTATTCACTACATCAGAAAAGATCCTAGATTCTCGTTCTTCCTACCAAAAATTCTTCTGATGAAATGAGGAATCATGGAACATTAACTTCTCTGAAAAAACACAACTTTGGGTGACCCAAAGGTCAATGGAGAAATGTATGATAGGTGTAAATAGACTGTAGCAGACTACCAATAAGGACTTGTGTGCAAGAAGTGGCATAAAAGATAATTGTTGAAAAATATATGATTGAAAAAGGTTGGACATGTGAAAATTATGGATAATAGATGATTAGTCTCAGTCCTGTTCTGGTATTCATGAAATGTAAAAAGAACTCGAGGAAGACTTTGAATGTATTAGATAGATCTTAGGAAGATTTATTGTAGGACACATAAGCATAACATAAGATGAGAAGATACGAATAGATAGTAATAGGCACATAAAAACTTACTCAGGTCATACTGTTGTTTAAAAAAACCACCCTAAGTATCATTCAGAATTGCTTCTCTTTTTCACAACAGATCCATAGAAAAAGCCATTTGTGTTCATTGCTTCCACTTTTTTGCACACTTTTCAATCTCTCCTTTCTGTTCTAATTAACTCAGCTGAAACTTTCTTCAGTTACCACTGATTTCTTAATTGCAAATTGAATGGTCTTTTCTTAGTTTTCATCCCCCTCCCCCCTTTTCTTGACATCTCTGCAGTGTTCCACGTTACTGACCATTCTGTCCTCTTGGATATTCTTTCTTCTATGGGTTTTCTTGCCACTGATCTTTCTTAGTTTTTCTCCTGCATATCTAGCCATTTTTTAGTCTCCTTTGCTGGATCATCATCCATATTCTTCTCCCCATTGGTGGATATATCTCCTAACTAATCTCCTTGTTTCTAGTCTCTTCTCTAATCCTCTTTGCCACCACAAACAGATATTCTGAAAATGCAGGTCTGATCATGTCACTGCCCTCTTCAGGAAGCTACAGTGGCTCTTTACTCTCTTCGGAATATTTTTCATCATTATTACTGTTCTTATTTTAAAGCTTCAAAAAATTGCCTTCTCTCCTTCCCAGTTCAATTCCTCTGTTCCATTGAGAACAAAAGGAAAACAAAATTCCTGTTAATAGACATGTTTGTCCAAGCAAAACAAATTTCCACATTGGCCTTGTGCAAGAAAATGTCTCATTCTGTATATACTCTGAGTTATTCCTCTCTCTATCTGGAGGTGGCTAGCCATGTTTTTTCATCATCAAGCCTTTGAAATTGTGGTTGGTTATTATGCTGATCAGAATTCCTAATTCTTTCAGAGTTGTTGGTCTTTATCATATTTTTCTCATTGTTTAAATTGTTCTCCTGATTCTGTTCACCTGATTCTGCATTTAAGTCTTCCTACGTTTTTCTGAGACCATTCCTTCCATCATTTCCTACATTATTTCCCATAATAGTATTCCATAGTATTTATATACCACAACTGTGTACCACAACTTGTTCAGCTATTCCACAATTCATGAGCATCTCCCATTCTTTGCCATCTCAAAAAAAAGCTATAAATATTTTTGTACATTTTTTGTACATTTGTATATTTTTGTACAGTTTGTTTTGGGCTAATCCTTTCCTTAATCTACATCTAATTGCTTCCTTCCCTCCCCCCACTCCCCTTACTACTTTTTTCATGTCCCCCTCCTTATTTCCTTTTTGAGTGAATGTATTTTTTTACCCAACTCTGCGTGTGTGTGTTCTTTTCCTTTGAACAGTTCTCTCCAACCTCTCCTCCTTGTTTGTGTAGAAGCCTACTTATTTGAGATCATTTCCCCTAATTTACTTTACTTCCCCTTCCAAGTGTATTCCCCTTCCACTCTCTATCCATTCTTCTGTTAAGGTGGTCAAAACATAGCAGACCACTCCTAGACCTTCAGTCTAATTAGAGTACCTCTGTGACCCCTGAAGATGATAGGGTTCAGTGGATACGTGTAATATCCCTTCATATTAGAATGTAAGCAGTTGACCTTTGTTTAGTCCTTTATCATTGTTTGTGTTTACCTTTCATATTTCTCTTTATTCCTGTCTTTGAACTTCAAAGTATCTACCAGGAATGCTTGGAAGTCCTCTATTTCATTAAAGATCCATTTTTTTCCCTTGTAAGATTATATTCAATTTTGCTGGGTAATTTAATGTTGGAAATAAGCATTGCCTTCTGGAATACTGTATTGCAGCCTTTTCACTCTTTTATAGGAGAATCTGCTAAATCATGTGTGATCCTGACTGTGATGTTCACAGAAATTTTTTCTTTCTGACTGCTTTTTTCTTGGACCTGGTAGCTCTAGATTTTGCCTCTCACATTTCTGGGAATTTTCATTTTGGCTTCCTTCCTTCCTTTCTTCTTTCCTTCCTTCTCTCCTTCTCCTCCTCTGATTCTAAGGGATCTGGACAGTTTTAATATTTATTGACATAGGATGTTTAGGCTCTTGTTGAGGACATGGCATTCAGGTAGTCCAATGATTCTTAATTTTTTTTCCCTCAATCTGTTTTCAAAGTCAGTAGTTTTTGCTGGTACACAGTACTTTATATTTTCTTCTATTTTTTGGTCTTTTCACTTTGTTTTAATATTTTTTGGTATTCATTAAGCTTCTATTTGTTCTGTTCTAATTTTCAGGTAGTTTTTTGCATGGCAAGGTTTTGTGCCTCTTGTACCAACTTTTAAATCCATTTCCAATTCTTTCTTCCTTAACTCTCATTTCTTTTTTAGTATTTTTCTCTAGAGTTCTTATTTCATTGACAAACAACAACAACAACAACAACACAGCACATTTTTAGCTCTTTAAAAATTCTTGCTGGGGCAGCTAAGTGGTGCACTGGA